CCATTTTAATCTCCTTCTGTGTCTCAGCATCCGTTCCTCCATTTTGTAGGCCAACACTCAGTTTTAACCACCTTTTGTGCTCAGTCATTCTCTGTTCCTTTCTGTGAAATCTGAAGTTGTTTCTCTTGATTAAAGAGAAGACAACATGGTGGGGTGTCCTGCAATGCCTGAGGGAGCAAGGAAGGACAGCACAACTGACTGTACAATGGCAGCATAGAAGTGAAGCATAGAAGTGAAGCATAGAAGCTTAAAGCAATTCTCTTTTCTTCTATAGTTTCAGATAAATGTATCCAATATGGACCATCCCTTGGACTCTTTTGGGTGTCTCCTGTGGTTGCTGATGTTGGTTCATTTGCCACTGCAAAACGTCCATGGATTTTTCCCCAACATCTGGTATCGGGGCATCAGCTTGTCCTGGGGATCCATCACCCACCAGGACATGACTGAAGATGCAATTCTGAACATCACTGTTCGCCTCTTTTCGGAGATATCTCACCCTACCAAGAGGAAAGACATCCAAGAAGAGGACTTTAAGGTGAGAGAAAATTGGACGTGGATACCTGAAAGGAATGTGAGGTGAAGGGAGCAGTGATATTTTCAGCAAAGTAGCAGAGGTGGACAATTAATTTTCCCAAGGGACCACATGAGGATTTTTACTGTTGAGGAGGGCCGAACCAATAGAGCTTTGAAGATGCATTGGCACGCACGCATGCACATATGTAAATTGAAAAAAATAGCACCTTCAAAGTTGTGTGCACGATGTTCACTTATTTACATTTAATTTCTAGTTGATCTCATGCGGGCTGGACAGGGACAGCCAAAGGGCTGGATGTGGCCCATGGGGAGCTGTAAAATGGCCAGGTCTGAGTTATAACCCTATTCCTCAGTGACATTCAAATCAAATAACTTTATTGCGTTTATTAACCAGCAGAAAGGAGAAAATAGTTTTTGAATATCCAGAACATTTAATAATAAATAAGGAGGAATGATACATTTAAAAGAAATGCTTAAAAGTATCATTGTTATTAGTTAAAACTAACCTATAATCTAGAATTATGGAGCCCCTAACAAATCTGAGGAAGGTACAATACAATAGCTGGCATAAAAAAAAAAGACCAATGGGTAATGCTGAGGCAGAGCCATTCCCTGCTCAAACAAATTCAATTACTCTGAATTAATCTTTGTCTAATTTTGTACGCCAGTGCACAGAACCTGGCAATCTTACATGTTATTTCAGAATTAGTATCAGAATTGCTTGTAGCTGAATAACATTGTACAAAACCCTCCTTTGTTTAGCTAAGTTGCAATGTCATCGAGGGGGCTGGGTCTTGCTCAGACACCTCCAAAGTGCATCTTGTTCATTGCTTATCAGCAAACAAAAACCAAAAATGGGCAGTCTAGCCAGCTTACTTGGTTTTTGCTGGCAATTAATTGGTAATTCCCAGTTGGAAACAGTTCCTTTATCATTGTAGGTGACAGAGGGTGCTAGTGCTGTTACTGATGTTTTCAATTACACAACCAACCCGATTTTACGATTTATTTTGCAACAGTCATTCAGTGAATGGGACAGTTGTTAAGCAAACACGGTGGTCATTAAGCAAAGCTATTGTTCACAATGGACATTTTTTGCCGAAAACTGGATGTAAATGCCAGTTTCCGGCAGAAAATGTCATAGATCACAGTCACATGACCACAGGATGCCACAAATGGCCATAAGTAGTAGTAGTAGTAGTAGTAGTAGTAGTAGTAGTAATAATAATAATAATAATAATAATAATAATAATAATAATAATAATAATAATAATAATAATAATAATAAAGTTGCAAGGGACCTTGGAGGTCATCTAGTCCAACCCCCTGCTCAGGCAGGAAACCCTATACCATTTCAGACAAATGGCTGTCCAGTCTCTTCTTAAAAACTTCCAGTGTTGGAGCATTCACCACTTCTAGAGGCAGGTTGTTCCACTGGTTAATTGTTCTAACTGTCAGGAAGTTTCTCCTTAGTTCTAGGTTGCTTCTCTCCTTGATTAGTTTCCAAGTGTAGGCTGGTTGCCAAGTGCCCAAAATGCAATCACATGACCATGGGAGAGGCAATGCCAGAACTTTGAATCTGGTTGAGGAATTCTGTGAGTGGAAGTCCACACATCTTCAAGTTGCCATGATTGAGAAAAACTGACTTACAAATTCAATCCATTCATCCATAACATGTATTTCAGCTGAGACTTAACCTTTCATTCCCCCTCAACACACTCTTCCTTCTACGTATATATTGTGAGGGAGGGGGGAAATGGATGGACTTATCTACCATGGTTTTTTAATATTACTTCTGATTCCACCTCAACAGGGCAAGACCCTATTGGCTGATGACATCTTTGCCGCTTTCTATGGTCCTGAGGTGTCAGCCAAGCGTTTCCGTGGAGCCATTGCAGAAGTAGCCAATGCCAATGCCGCCATGGACTTTGGGAATACGACTCGGGATGACCCCGTTTTCCACTTTGATTCAGAGCTCATTCACTCTGCCAACAGCTGGCTGTTGCATGTTCGTAAAGAGATCCTCCAGGCTGTGCATTCTGAGCAATATGGCATTGCCCGAAAAAAGCTGGGACAGCTGCTCCACTCCTTGCAGGTATTCACCAAAATGTACCAAATTCAAAATTAAAATAGCAGGAAAGATGGCAGCCTTCTCGTTGGCAGCCCCAAATCTGTAAATGCAACGATCGGCGAGAATATGTTTGAGAGAGGAAAAGGAAGAGGTGAGGTAGGACAATAGTCAGATAAGTCAGGGCTTTTCAACCAGTGGTACGGGTATCACCTGTGGTACATTGGCACCTGGCAGGTGGTACGCGACCATCCTAGAAAAGTGGTAGCGGGGGAGGGGAATGAGCTGAACCAGTGGCAGCACCGCACAAGCCTGAGCGAGAGATGGCTGGAGCTGCAGGGCTGTCAGGGCTCAGTGGAAGCGCCAGGATCAGCGCCAGGCTCCAGCTGGAGCTTGGCGCTGATCCTGGCGCTTCTGCTTAGCCCAGAAGAAGCGCCGATCAACTGGAATGTTGCAGCATCTCCAGGATCTTGTGATTTACATTCAGATGCTTGGCAATTGATTCATATTTATGACGGTCACAGTGTCCCAGGGGCATGTGAAGTGACCAAAACCTGCTGCAACCACCCAGCAGACGGGGGGAATAAAAACCAAACACCCCCCACCCTACCCCCGCTGCCAATCCTCAACAGAAATGCTCACAACAATGAAAACCTTGGACAGGAGGAAGAGCGCTGCCGGGCGGGCAAGCAGGTGTCTTGCTCGGCTGTGGCTTGGGGGGCACTTTTTTCAGTGCTATTGTAACTTCGAACAATCACTAAGCGAACTGTTGTAAGTCGAGGACTACCTGTACTTTATCACTTTTTTCCCTTTTTTTTGTCATCAAGTTTTTGACACCTTGCTAGGCGACGGGTGATACTCGGATATTGCCATATCCTAAAAGTGGTACAATGGGTGAAAAAGTTGAAAAGCCCTGAGATCAGAGACATAGAATGCAGTACTGCATTCTAACCACTGTGTGGTGGCACAGTGGTTAGAATGCAGTACTGCAGGTACTTCTGCTGATTGCCGGCTGCCTGCAGTTCAACAGTTCGATCCTCAAGGTTGACTCAGCCTTCCATCCTTCTGAAGTCAGTAAAATGAGGACCCAGACTGTTGGGGGCAATATGCTGACTCTGTAAACCGCTTAGAGAGGGTGTCAAGGTTAAATTGCCAAGATGCTTGCTAACCTCTGTCGCTACTCAACTTGCCATAGAAATAATAATAATAATAATAATAATAATAATAATAATAATAATAGTAAAGTTGGAAGGGACCTTGGAGGTCATCTAGTCCAACCCCCCTGCTCAGGCAGGGGAGGAAGAATCTGGGAAAGAAACGGCCCCAGGCTGTGAGACCCAAGGTCACAAAAGCAGGTGTTTGACAGAGAAGTGGATCGTAAGAGATGTGCTTTCAGACTTGCAAGATTCTTTTATAGATGGTCCTCAGGTTACAACCATAATGGAGCCTGCCCAGGTTGTAGGTCATAAACAGTCGTAAAACCGTATCTTAGCATGTAGTACCCAGATGTACAGGTTAAATACAGTTAACCCTTGTTTAGCAAATTTAGTTGGGTCCGGCAACTCAGTGGTTAAGCAAAGTGGTCACTAAGTGAAACCGCAACTGTGCTTATCATCTTACTTTAGCTTTCTTATGCTTTACAGACCTATAAATGTCATTGATCATAAATGCCGATTTCAGGCAAAAAATGGCAATAAATGTCATTGGAGAACCAAGATTCGCTTAACAATCATGTGATTAGATAGATAGATAGATAGATAGATAGATAGATAGATAGATAGATAGATAGATAGATAGATAGATAGATAGATAGATAGATAGATAACCTTTATTGTCATTTTTTACTGTGGGCACAATGGCACACATTAAAAATGAAATTTAGTTGCTTGCTCTCAAAGTGTACGCGTACATACCACACATTTAAACATACTATACACAAGATATGCATAGACTTACACCCTTAACATATAAGTAACATATAAATATTAATCACTGTCCATCTTGAATACATAACGGAAGGAGAAAGCTTTAGAGTTCACAAGGTTAATACTGTATGTAACAAAACTGTGACTGATTTGCTTACTGACTGGTAAAAATGGTCACAAAATTGGGGGTCTGATGTCCTATTGACTCAACATATGACCACACTGACATGACCAAAATTCCAGTCCCAACCGTGGTCGTAAGTAGAGGACTACCTGTATGTGTTAAGAAATGAAGCTAGCAAGGCTGGGTAGGACAGTCTCTGGCCAGAAAGAGAACCATGGTCCATGTGGTGCCTTCCATGGCCATCAAGAAAAAGACCAAGCATCTGTTGACTTGGAAAGCCAGTGGAAAAAAGCCTAGAATTTAAACCCGGAACTTTAGATTTATATAGATTTGATTTCTACACCTGCCAATGGATAAATCTGTGACTCTGTGGCTTCATTCTTATCCAATGAATAGACTTAAGTTTGCTGAGGCAAGTCTGTAAACTTTATGCCAACTATCCCATTCCTGAGTAAGGGATTAAGTATCCGGAGAGACGAGAATTAAAAGTTCTGCCTGGGGGAAGCATAACCAATTACACCCCTTAACTAATTCCCTTATATTGTCTATAATGAGTCAGCATACCTTCATCTTTCTGCCTTTTCAAATTTAATTTTGCTGTTCTGCAAAAAGTACCGGTAGTCCCCGAGTTGCAACCATTCATTTAGTGACTGTTCAGAGTTACAACAGCCCTGAAAAAAGTAACTTATGACTGGTCCACACGGGACTGTCGCAGCATCCCCATGGTCATGTGATCAAAATTCGAGCACTTGGCAACTGGCATGTATTTGCAATATTTGCAACGTCTCGAGATCCTGCGATTCCCCCTCTGTCACCTTCCCAAATGGCGAAGTCAGTGGGGGAAACCAAAATCACTTAACAGCTATATGATTCATTTAACAACTGCAGTCATTGGCTTGTCAACCAAAGATTGTAAAATCCGGCATGACTCACTCAAATAATCATCTAGCTTAGCTGTGGTAATTCTGGCCCCAATTGCTGTTTTAAGTTGAGGACTGCCTGTACTGAAATCACACAAAAAGAACAAGAAGCTATAGAATAGAATAGAACTGGAAGAGACCTTGGAGGTCTTCTAGTCCAGCCCCCTGCTCAAGTAGGAGGTCCTATAGTACCATTCCAGATAAGTGACTGTCTAGTCTCTTCTTCTCAACCGGAATTTACTAACTTTTAAATTGAAGTGGAGGATCGCAATCCATAATTTAACAAAATAATAATACAGGAGCTGCTCACCATCTTTCTTTCTGGGCAGGATTTCTACAGCCACAGTAACTGGGTAGAACTGGGAAATGAAAGAATACTTCTGCATTTGGTTCAGCCGGGCCACGAAATTCCCCCTGTCGCTGAAGGTATGGATCGAATGCAATTTTTCTCTTTTACCTGAGTTTGCCTCAACATGAAATATAGTATTGTTAGTGGGAATCAGCCCCTGATTCACTCAGAGGAGACTATTCCCAGCAATATTTAAAATAAAAGTTAAAATAATTACCAAGCTGCCAAGACAAATACAAATAATACAAATAATCCTTGACTTACAAGCAGTCCCTTAGCGACCGCTTAAAGTTAACAATGACACTGAGAATTTATTGATTTAGCCTGTTTGTTTGTTTGTTTGTTTATTTATTTGGTCGATTTATGTAGCTGCCCATATCAGCGAATCATTTGGGGAGGTGAACAATATTTAAAATAAAATTAGAATCCCAGCTACGAAAACTGAAATACTTAGCAGCCGAGAGAAATGCGGGTAATCCTTGACTTACAACCATTGATTTAGTGACCGTTTGAAGTTAACAATGACACTGAAAAAAGTTGACTTACAAACAGTCCTCACACTTAAGACCGTCGCAGCATCCCCAAGGTCATGTGATCCAAATTCAAGCGTTTGGCAACTGGCATGTATTTATAATGGTTGCAACATCCCGAGATCACGTGATCACCATTTGCGACCTTCCAAGCTGGCTTCTGACAAGCAAGTCAATGGGGTAAAGCTGGATTCACTTAATGATGACATGCTTCACTTAACAACTGCAATAATTCGCTTAACAACTGTGGCAAAAAAAAAAAAAAAGTTGTAAAACTGGTCATGACAAAAGTTGGGGAAAGTTGGCATAAAGAGCCCCGGCGGGTGCAGTGATTAAAGTGCAGTTATTGCAGCCAAACTCTGCCCATAGCCTGGAGTTCGATTCTGACGGGGCTCAAGGTTGACTCAGCCTTCCATCCTTTTCTGAGGTCGGTAAACTGGGGACCCAGATTGTTGAGGGCGATATGCAAATAATGCTTCTGTATTATAAACCTCCCAGAGAGTGCAGTAAAGAACTATGGAGGGATAGTCATGTCTAAACGCTATTGTTATTGCTATTGCAAGATTTTGTAAAGTGAAAGAGGGGAAAAAGTGGAACTTGCATTCATCAGTCCATTTATGCTGAGACCGAGGAGGGTCTTGGGACCCCCCCTTCTCCCCTGCCTTTTCTCCTACCCCCCTTTTTTTAATTCCATGGTATTTCTCTTGTGCCTTCTCAGCTAGCATCCGGACTTGCCACGACTGCTCTGAATGGACTTGCAAAGAAAATCTCCTAGACAATCTTGCTGTTCTCACCACGGGTTACTATGGTTCCCATCCCGAAAAGCCTATTGGTATGTTTTTGTTGCCAATGGAGGGGGGGAAAAAAAGACTCTGTTTGGAAGCCAGGGAGATTTTTTTTCTTCTCCCCTTAATACTATCAAAGCCAAAAGTCTCATTTGTATTCTTTTTGCATCCTTAGAGAGTTGACGCTAAAATCTGTAAGAAGGCGAAAATAAGTTTTGGCATGGCTTTGAGAATTTTTTTCTCCCAAATGTGTTTCTTTGAGATGTTCTCTCCATCATCTGCCTGCTTTATTTATTTGGTGTCTGGTGTGTGTGAGAGAGAGAGAGAGAGAAAGAGAACACTTTTACAGCAAGTTCCACTTATTTCTGTGGAACTGGAGAGAATCAGAAGGCCTTTTCATAGTTAATTGATGGGGAGATGAATGAATCTTTTCTGCTTTAGGATTTGGAGATTTTGGGGGGGGGCGCTGTAAAAGCCTAGTGGAGCCTCCCATATTGTTTCTCTGACACAGGAAGAGAGAAAAATAAAATAATGGAAGCCCGTAGCAATAAAGCTTTCTGGATCAGTCCAAATAAATCAGTTTCTTTATCATTCTGTCCTCACAAAAAAAAATCTGTGGTGTCTTTTTTTAATGCAAGAAAATCATTTTGTTTGTTTGTTTGTTTTGCACAAAACATATGCAACTTGTGCAGAATTGCTGAAAGGTATGGGCAGGCAAGATGCAATTATAGAGCAGACCCCATAAAGATGATGTGACAGAGCTCATATTGTTAAGAGTCTGGGAGGTTTAAAACAGCATTAAGCCCCCCCCCTATAAATGGTTTTATAAAAAGCAGAGTTTTCTTCAGAAATGGTATTATTCCACCCTTCTCCACCTTTGCAAATGAAGATGCCAGGCTGACACTCTTTTTTCGTCCTTCCTGTCGGCTCAGGGAAGTGCAGTCATGGCGGGAGGTTTGATGAGAGCCGCCATCAAGAACCTCGAGGTGGCATTAATAAAGACAGTGCCTCCTCGTTCTTCTCACCTCACCATTACCTGCACCAGAAGGCAGCTGGGCTGGCCCAAGAAGCCTCCATACACTTCCTGGAGAAGATGTGGCGAGAAATAGGGAGCAGACAATTTATGAGGTAATATGGTCCATTCTTTAAGGTTCTTACAGTTTTCACCTGTGGAAATGCTCTTAATGGAGGCTGGCCATAGGCAGCCCCACGGCCATTTTTAATGACGTCTCCAGAATTTCCTCTGATTCATTAGTCCTGAAATTAGGTTTAGGACCATTTTACATTGATTTTACACTGCCCCAGATTTGTCCCATTGGAGAAAATTAGAAACATAATAATAATAAAGTTGGAAGGGACCTTGGAGGTCATCGAGTCCAACCCCCTGCTCAGGCAGGAAACCCTACACCATTTCAGACAGATGGCTGTCCAGTCTCTTCTTAAAAACTTCCAGTGTTGGAGCATTCACCGCTTCTGGAGGCAGGTTGTTCCACTGGTTAATTGTTCTAACTGTCAGGAAGTTTCTCCTTAGTTTATTTTATTTTATTTATTTTATTTATTTTCAATAACTTATATGCCGCCCTTCTCCCCATGGGACTCAGGGCGGCTCACAGCATGTTAAAACAATATAAAACATTATCCCCTATAAAAGCCAATTAAAAACCAAATATTTATAGCTGTGTCTTATTAAAATCATTAAAATTGTCCCTATTTAAAATTCACCCTAGGTCAGACCCGCTTGCTGAAAAAGCCATGTCTTGAGGG